TCTCTTAACATTAAATTTTCCATTTCCACAAGAAATCTCGAAAATGTTCTCATTTCTTAGCTTCCTTAATCAATCATGATGTATAACGAGCTATAAAATATAGGTGTATTTGCTCAAGCGACCGCTTAGAGCCAAAATTGCATGACAGGTGTAGTTGATAGAAGCTTATCGCAGAAAAAAATAGGCCAGTGCCCAAATATTTTTTTGATGGCCTTCAGAGAAGAATTGATTGATAAGAACGCGAAATTAGGGCTGTAATAAAATATGTAGTTATTTTTCATCGTGGTGTAAGAAAGGATATGAAATTTATTCGTTTGTGTCACGATGGAGTTACTTAAGATGTTGATCGCGACGTTTCGACGGCAATACTGCTAGCCTTCATCAGGCAATGAGGTTGATTGTTCACGTGTCGCTATTTGTAACACGTTGGTTTGCTGTTATTGGTGCATTCCGATCCTCATTACCATTCCGCTTTTAGATTTTGTTCCCTCATAGGTCCGTATCGATCGAGTGTTGTGTTGTTTGATCGTAGACATCCAAGCTTCGAGAATTTCGATTCCCCTATTCCTATTGATGTTGTTGGGATGAAGTCTTATATGGATAGCCTCTTTGACCCTACGCGGTCCTCTTTGACCCTACGTGTGTACGAGTGGGGTTCACGATCAACAAACTTAACCTTGCTCCAAATGGGAATATGCCCCGTTTTGTTAGCGTTAGTTTTGCATCGTGAGCGAGCGCATTTGAAAGTTCTAGGTTGGTCATTGGCTTGAAATGACCAAAAAGTTGCCTATGGTTTTGCCACTTTTGAATGAAATTAGTGGAGGTTGCGAAAAGATAGTGCCAGGCTCTGAATCGTTTTGGAGTAATTTAAGTTTTAAGAATGATAGATTTAACTACCTGGTTGTGAGGGTGAAATGTGAGAGTGAATGGAATGCGGTCACTGCTTTCCTTCTCAGCCGTCAGTAATGCTGACTGTCGATCAATTTGTTGGGCACGGTGATGGCCCGCATAAACGACAGAAACAGCCACGTTCGATGCTCTAGTGTTTCGAAAAAATCAGAGTCGTCACTACATAAACGACGAAGTCTGAGAAACTGTGAAAAAGGTATGGAATTCTTGACGTGTGACGGATGCGAGGATAGATACAACAAGTAACTAAGTGAATCTGTAGGTTTGTAGTATGCATAAACTGTTTCCTTCAGTTGAAAGCCAAAGAAGTTTCAGAAATTTCCCATGTGTATTCTAGACCCGGGTGAAAGGAATTGACCGCGGTTATGATATGATGATACAAAAAAAAAACCCACACCATGAACAAAACAAAATTACAATGTCCAATCTGATAAAACACATGCTAAAATTTTAGCATGCTCATTGGCTAAGAACACGTCAATTAAAACAAAACAGTCCAGAAAATCAGGGTCAATTTGTTGGGTGTTACTAAACTGTGGATCAGCAGACCGCGGAAATTGCATCCCAAATTTCACTGAAATTATTCCATTACCTTTACAAATCACACCTAAGAATTGCGAACAATCATTGAGTAGGCCTGTCCACTTTGAAATGCTACTTCAAATAGCGCATTTGTCTCTGGCAAATTTTAAAATAAGCCGCTTTTGGCAGCCATGTTATGGATGCCTACTTCTAGGTAATAAGTTTAATTTCCCCATTGCAAAAGTCCAAACTTTTCTTAATTACCAGCGTCTTTCCTGATACTTTACTCCTCGCAGCTGACAATGCCCTCCATAAAATGGGCTTGAGCAAAAGTTCAAAATTTTCTTAATTATCAGCGTCTTTCCTGATACCTTTCTCCTCGTAGCTGACAATACACTCCATAAAATGAGCTTCTTTGAATAACACATTACGTATTGGGTTTACTTACTTTCTCCTCGTAGCTGACAATGCACTCCATAAAATGAGCTTCTTTGAATAACACATTACGTATCGGGTTTACTGTCAATGGAATAGATTATAAGAACGTGAAGTGGCAAGCTAGTGCACAAGCTAACCCTGAAATGTGCCTTGTACCACACTGCGGTATAAAACTCACAAGGACATTGTTATTGAAATTTACGAATTAACCGAGGTTGCAAGTTCAAGACTAAAATCCCATCCGGTGGGGGTAAAAATACCACCACAGACTGATTATAGAAACCGCAAAAAGCTCCGAGAGCATGGAAAGATTAGGCTGGTCAATTAGAGCGCTGAAAAGAAAAGAACAGCAGCGTCCTTGACCTTGATGACAAAAGATATGTGTGGCACTGACTGCAACGGGAGTGAAATAAATACCTTTAAATACGTCATTTTGTAATCACTTCGGCAACATTTTAATCGGTAGAAGTCTTCATTTGCACCACAATTGTGGCAATCGAGCTTTTGAAGCAAATTAACCTAACCGTCCTCGAGAAGTGGTCAATGTCAGACTCTTTTTTTCAAAATAAGAGAAACATTGCCGGCAATGCCTTCTTACATTTGACATGAACCGGTTACTGAGTGCATCTTTAATATGTTTTATCGATTGAAATGATATTCAATCATCGGCGTTTTACTTTTTGCAGGCAGAAATCTTTCTTCGTTGCATACCTAGATCATGATTAGCTTATCGCTTCCTGCTATAAAACCTTCAAAAATAGAAGACTTATAATTTAAAAGAATGTGTAATTTTATTCTGTGAAATATCGATCTTCAAAACGACAAGGTTTTGGAACTGAGAGGTTGTACAATAACGAAAGCAAAGCGTTCTATATCATTTCTATAATACTTACTGGCTATATGGTATTATCTAAAGCATGATTAGACCTACGAAGCGAAAATTGAAGGTGCTCTCCCCTAACCTTCAAAAAGGAACGTGTATTTACCGCCTTCAGAATATTTGCAGTGATGTAAAGGATACAATGGGCTCCTTTTTATACTTGTGTTCTTATTTAGAACAAAAGTTCAGTTTTATGGATTCCGCTAGATTTTTCATGTCTCCTCATTTACGAAATTTATTGTGCTGCTCAGCTACATAAACTGAAGGCTGTTCTCCTAAAAGAATGAAATGTAAGTAGAAAGCTTTTCTAACTGAAAAATCAAATAACTTTGCACCACAAATATGGCAGCAAAAGCTTATCAAACCTAGTTTTTGCGCTATATCAAAGTCTAAGATGAAAGAAGAAAAAAAAAAAAAAGAAGAAGAAGCTCGTCCGCCTTGTAAAGGCGGCTTTAAAATGCGCCTACAAAGCGAAATTTGAAATAAGCCACTCTATCATTCGCCAATCTTCTAGTAGCGCCTGGTATCGCCTGCCATCCCAATTTTCTGATGGTGACCGGAATCATTCAGTTTGTTTTACCGAGTTCTTGGTAATCAGAAGCCATATTGGCGATGCCTACTTCTTGGTAACGAGCTCTTCCACTGGAAAAGCGCAGTTTCTCGTAATTACCAACGTCTTCCCAGAGACCCACCCTCATAGCTGACAAAGTTTTCCTTAAAACGCCCTTTTTTAGCTCGTATTTCTCCTGGTTCGGGAAAGAAACTTCAGAGGGCATTCAGTAAGCAGGTTGCTATCCACTGATCACTCAAGCTTACTCCCCTCATAAGAGAACTGTACATTTAGTCTCCACTACACAGCAAATAACACAGTAGTGTAAACCGAATGAGATTATTTAGGGAAACCTACCGAGAACCAACCTGATATATTGCCTGAGGCATACATACATGCATATATTCGCAACTGATATACCATATACAATCCTGATATAGAGTCAATTCCTTACACATTCAAAAAAAGGTATACATTACTAACATGCAAACTTCACCAAGTTGGGATTAACGGAGATGGGCAACTGCTTACGAGGACGTTACTACGGTTATACGGAGGCCAGAAAAACCTGCCAGAAAAAACCCCTCTGGGGAAAAAATATGACAGGGAATCTGGGTAGGAACCGTGGCTTAAACTCAGAGCAGTTGGCAGCCCAACGAAAGTTTTCAAACGAAATAACTTTGTCATCAGCCAGAGGTGGACGGTTGGTTCTGAGGCCTAGATGGACACAACGTGCTACACCCCCCCTTAGGTGCTATTGCATCATTACCCATGATGCTTGGGCCTAAGGCCCAGGCGTTGTCGTATCTCGTGCCTACAAAATATTTATTTCTGCCTTATTCGCAGATATAGGGCTCCATTAGCTAGAGAACTTCACGCATGGCCAGGTCTCTGCTTGCCGCAGGACCCTCCTTGCCGATGTAAATCATGGTGTTGAGGAAATAGCCATTTGCAGAATCTGTCACGACAAAACCTTTCAGCTCAAATCGACTTCTTTTCAAAGGCAAAAATTGCCTAAATTGTACTCGTCCCTTGAACATTATCAGAGCCTCGTCCAAAGACAAATTCTGCGATGGTGCATAAACTTCTATAAATCTAGGCAGCAAGGCATTCAAAAACGGCCTGACAGTTTGTCTCTATTAGAGTCAGAAGGGTGTGGAGCATTGTTGTTGTCGACAAAGTGCATGCAAAAACCGCAGAATTGGAAGGTAGCGATCTCTCGATTTTATATTTTGAAATCAGAGGGTGCTTCCTTGTCAGAATCCACATGGGCAACACGAAGAAAGGCAACAGGAGGATCGTCTTCGTCCACAAAAGTTAATCCGGTCGCCTCCGCAGCTGCCATTTCGAATCATTCCGCTAGCGAATTTATGCTAAACATACGGCTACGCCATATTTAAAAGGCCGACGCAAAATGCACAAGTGATAAAGCAAAAAATTCGGAAAAATGATATATTTTGAGTTTCGAATAGCTGTTTTCACAGAGATGTGTTTATTCTCTTTCAAATATTTTGCAATTCGCGGAAAAAGTGTTTACGAACAACTTACTGTTTGCTGCGTGGGATACTGTCTTTTCAGTGTGCTCTGGTAATGAACAACTTTGTCAACAAACGAACGTGTGACTTATTCCGGAACAATATAGCTAAAAACACTATTTTATAAAACGAAAGCTTTTATCGTAATAAATGTAAGGTTTGAAAACTGGCAAATGTCAGTCGAGGCATATCCTCGGATATTCTCCAATTTTTTTAATTTATTTATAATTTTTATTTTTATTGGTTTTATTCGATCTACTGATGCCCTTCGACCAATCGTACGCACGCAAAAATATTTGATGATTTATAATCGTTGGTATTTTAAGGCAATTGAGCGAATCGGGTGCATGATTCACCGATCGATCTTATTATTGCTGTGTTTTCTCCATTAATATTCTTGTCCTTTTCTTTAAATTGATCATGATCAGTTTATCGCACCTGGAATGTCGAAGATAAAAGAAGTGTTCTATAAAAAATGAGACTTTCTTCAAAAAACAGCAGTCTTCAAAACAGGCGCGAACGCTTATTACCCCATGGGCTATACAATAACAAAAGCAAAGTGATCTAAATAGTGGCAATAGCACTACTCGTTTTAGCTAGACTTAAAGGACGGAAAATGAAAAAATTCGTCGTGGTGAGACGGAATTAGTCCTATTTTTAGCCTGCTCGGTGAACGCATGACTGATTTCCACTCTCCATTTCCAAGAACTGAAAATTGAACGGATATATTATCTTAACATCAACTTCAATTTATGTCGTCTTCACCTAGCGACATCTGAACAAATGAAGCACGCACTGATAGTAGAGTGAAGTTTGAATCCCTCAAACAACTCAGCCCCTCTCAGACTCTTTGGAACTCTTCAGTTATTCTAAAGCGCGTATGCGTCTCTGTTTGTTGCTAAATAACTCAAACCAGTTTCTAAACTTCAAGAAACACCCTGCAAATGTTTTATTATATTAGTGTGACCACGCTTTCTTTGCCTATAACGTCCTCGTTGCTTACTATTCAAGAAACATTTTCAAACGATAAAGTGATGTTCTGCAGGCAACATTAGGATAGGGATGAAATAAGTTTCCAAGCGCGAAAAAGTGAAGTTATCCTGGAAATGATCAACATATATTTGAGCCAGAAATTAAAGCTGATTTGCCCAAACTGTGTTTAGAGATAATGTGTAATTCAATTCATTGTTTTGGAATCATGATATGGATCCCTTTTTCTGTCGGCCTTCTTTTCCGTTTTCCTTTTTTTTAATGAAAATTTCAAACGTAGTCCTGCAAAATTGGAAAATCGATTCAATTACGTTTTTACACGAGTTTTTCTTTTACTCGTATTTTGTTTTTATTTAACAGCAAAGGGACAATGAATATCGAGTCCTCTATAATTCGAGAGCAGGCAATCTATTTAAGAAAGAACGTGTATAAGCAAACTTTAGAATATGCCAATTTTGTCGTTCATTTTTCCCCGATTATTTTGAGAGTGCCAATCTCCTGATTGCGCTCAGGTTCGTAAGCCATTCCGATTTCCTGATAGTGGCCACTATCATTCGGTTTCCCGATTTCCTGATAATCAGCAGCCATACTATGGATGCCTAATTCTTGGTAACGAGTTTCTCCATTGGAAAAGTGCAACTTCTCGTACATGCCAGTGTCTTTCCAGACACCTAACTCCTCGTAGTTGACAATGTCCTCCTTAGAACGCGTTTCTTTTAGCTCGTAATTATGTGGGCTTGGGTGAGGAACCTCAGGAGACATCCCTTTCGAAACGCGCCGGTTTTCAATTCTCTCTTGACGGTGGCAGTGGCGGACGAGGCAAATGCTGGCGAGCACGATGACAAATATGCCACCACAAGAAGCACCAATGATGAGTGGGTAAGGAAGTTTTTCTTTTACATCCTTCTTTGGGTCTGAAAGAAGAACATTGGACGGGTTTAGTACTCTTACTATTAAAACCACCATACTTCTGGTGCTGTTGGTAGCGCTAATCTTAAAAATCCTTCCGTTGCTGCTTCTGCTGCTACATCCACTATTTTTGCTACTGCTACATTCTGTACTGCAATTGCTCGGCTACTACCATTGCTATTGCTAAAACTGTCGTCGGCTCTTGTGCTACTGATATTGCCATCGTTCTTGTAATTCCTAAATATGGTGCTACTGCTTCTGCCGCTACATTTTCATCAACTCCCGTTCGCGCATCTATGGATCCTACTGCTATTACTAGGGGACTGTTACATATACTATTTTTGCTACAGAGTGGCTTCAAATTACCTTCGTCTTGGATTCTGTCGATGATTTTTAGCGACTCCGGGTTGACAGGCAAAGGACCAAGAGTGCCGTTTTGCACGGCTTTTTTCAACGGAGCAACCGCTGTGTCATCTGAAACTTTGTTCTTGAATAATAGCTTAAATTCTACCACAACACTTCCGGGCCTGTATCAAATAAGTGGGATTGAAAGGTACTGATCATTATAATAGTTGCATTGTGCAATGGTAACATCATTCATTTACCTACTAAATTTAAAGGTTGCATACCTGAATGCTACAATTTGTACTCCAATAAAGTTTTTGAGCCCAGAATACTGTTTTTGTACCTGTAAGTTTAAAAAGATGATCTCAAGACGTTTCATCAATATCTTGCGGGACAGCTTTTTCAAGGGTGGAAAGCTTTCTAAAGGTTATTAAAGGCCCCTAATAACGTAAGGTCATGTATCAGCAAGGACTTGCACCTGGTTACACTTTTAGGGCTTCCAAGTGTGACTTTTATTTAATCAAATTTCTTCTCATGCTAATTTTGAAGAGAAACAATACGTGAATGTAAAAGATTCATTTGAAGGGCAGTAAAATATCTACAAGCATTACTTATTTCTTACCTCATTTTCAATGAGGGAGGCTAGATCTCTATAGGTTGGACTGGCTTTATCCCTTAGTTCGTCATTCCATGTCCTTTCAATACGTATTTCAACCGCAACCACTATAGAAGAGAAGTCAAGTGGATTGATTTTGATAACAAAACAAATTAATTTTAATCTCAGCTTTTCCCTGTAGTCTTGTAACTTGTGGCATGAAAAACAAAATTTAAGTGTCAAATATTGCGCATTGGAAGAATGTTTTATTGACAACTCGCTCGTGGACAGAAGGGGAAACAAAAAGGTTTAAGTTCTACGGCGATTACTCCTCCTTCGACATCAATTTTTACCAACCAATATGCACGTACCGGTTTCATAGTCTTCCGTATTCGGCTTAGATGTTGTTGTCTTTTCGCGGGATTCGCTCGTAGGAATATATCCAACCACTGAAAACGACATAACGGAGTCTTTGACTGCGGATGTGGCTTGTGTTCGGTGCAAAGCACTGGATTTTGTGAGCGAACTGGTCACCAGATGCGTGGAAAATACGCTACTTTTGGTTGATTTAGAACTCAAGGATGATGTACCTACAGAAATGTTGGTCGATTGAGAACTCAAGGCTGATGTACTCATAGAAGTGTTGGTTGGAAATTCGACCCGAGGTTGTCGCATGCAACCTTTCTGCAAACAGCTGTATAAAATAATCAAATATGCTGATTAAAACCACACACTTCTGAAACGTTTTGGCTTTACCATTAAAGTGAGCAATATTTTTTAATTATCTGGTTTGCAGTACATTGCCACGCTATTGATTATTTTACTTTGTACCATGCCCGTCAAAAAATTGAGATCTTCCTCTAACTTCAGGAATGTTCATGAACAACCTATGCATTTACATTCATGGAAGATAACGACTTATGCAATTTTTTTTTTCGCACTTGTAAATATTCGAAAAAGTTATATTGATCGTCAAAACCAAACACAAAAATAGTTTAACTAAAAGTTACAATAAAAAGACAACAGCAACCTTCCAGAATAGCCCTCTTGTTCCAATCCAAACCTTACCAGTTTCGCATCGTTCACCGGTATACCCAGCGAGGCAATTACACGAGTAGTTGTTGGTACCATCTACACACGTCGCACCATGAGCACATGTATGATTAACACAGTCATCAAAATCTGTGACAGAAAGAAGAGTAGGTAACCATGTCCCGTTGTAGATGAAAGTCTTAAGAAGCTTGAAAAAATGAAAAAAAAACAAAACAAAACAAAAGAATTTGTCAACGTTGTAGAAGCTACTTTTAGTGACTTTTCCCTTGTCATTTTCTGTTTAAATAACTAAATAGGAACACAGAAAATTATCGTCGAAACAATAAACTCAACAAAAATACAAAACGAAGACTTCCCGTCACATGATAAAGATTTTCGGGGAGATCCTCGCCGAATGAAAAACGTTAAACAACAAACAAAAACAAACAACAACAAACAACAACAAAATTGATTTACTTTAGCAATTGAAATACATATCTAACAATCCCTACCCACAAATGCAGTTTTATGGGGTGTTTGATCTTTAACAAAATCATGCATAAATAAACGGTTTTTTAATAATAATAATACGAAGAATTATTGACAGACTGAATAAAGGCACAAAATGAAATATAAAGGATTTGACAAATACGCGGAGAGAACATTTTTGAAAAGTCAAAACCTTTTCCAAATTTCATCGGGCAGCTTGGCTTCAGTCTAATTCTCTACTACTTCTCTTCTCAATCGCTTTGACGAAGGGCTAACCCTCGAAACGTCAGCCTTTAAACTCTTCAAGGTGGCCAAGTTACGTTTTGAACACTAAATTACCTGATATACTCTCCCACCGACGTAGCACCAGTTTCTTTAGAAACTTACCCTTTACTTCTCCATTGGATAAGAAAGGTTAAACAAGCGATTGGTATAATGTCAATACAATTTGAATCTTGATAAAATGTCTGAAGACTCGCTAATTTTCAACGTTACAAATGCAATGTGTTGAGTCAAAGATAAATTCAAATCGACTAGGACACCAAGGTATTTTATGTGTTCTTTCCGTTCCAGAGGGACAGGGGAATTGGCGCTGTAGTTAAACATATCTATGTTAACTTCATAATTAGCACGTTTTTGATACTGTTTTAATATATCAAAGTTATATTTTGATATTTAGAGATCTACACACCAGTTGCTCGCATTCTTTAGCTCCTAGTTAGTTGTTACTTCAAGAGATCTCAAACTCTTATCAGCATAAAGCAGGTTGGTGTTATCAGCAAATAAGAAAAAGTCTAGTTTTCTCAGAGAGGCTATTGTTCAGTTACGAAGGAATCGTTTCATAACTCCCATCAAGTGTTACATCAACTGCTTTATTCTTAAAAAAACCCGTCCTTTTTAGTTTAACACTCAGAGAGGGCTACAACTAAACAATGTCTATTGTTATATCCTTTTCCTTATAAAAAAAAAAAACAATTTAAACAAAGACCAACAAGGTAAACAAAGTTCAAAGTTTGTGGAACGTAGAAAGTTTCGACGCTGGTTACATAATCCCTTAAATAAGCTGGCTTCTTAAAAACTCTGCCTGATCGCCTTGTTGAGCCTTGCACAGGTAACCCACTAGGCTGAACAAGTGGCCCCGGTTGCCGAGGTGCCATCGCATGGCCATTGGTCGCATCCACTCGACCACTGGGTACGGTTGCGCGGAGAGCTCATGACCAGTCTGTGCTTGTTCAGGTAAAGATGTCGACTGTTGATCCGATTGCCTAACGCCTCCATCAGCCACCAAAGCAGGTCTTGAACTCCGACAGGCCTCCTTTGTTTTCCTCAGGTGACGGCGATTTCGGCGATATCTGGATCCATCTTAGGTAGCCGCCTCGAAGGACCGAGTTCCAACACACCTTTCAACCTTTGCTTTCACAGCTTCTTTACTCGGATTTCCAGGCGGCACGAGTCGCACTGTATCTCTACTTCTGAGTGCTCCCAGATCCTTAGCCCCCCTATTGTAAGCAAGGAGTTGTCCTTCTTTCTTGGCGAGAAGCTTCTGATAAATCTTGGGCTGGACAACTGGCCTGAGAAGCCTAGGAATGATGGGTAGTTGTGCTTTTGTAAACCTTGACGTCAACCACTGCGCTGGACTGGTGCCCAATCCTTGACTAGGCGTGTTTCTGTATTCGAGGAGAGCGAGGTATGGATCTGTTCTGGCTTTTCTTGACTTCCTCATAACATTTTTAGCGGAGTTAACAGCTGCTTCTACCTTTCCGTTGCTTTGCGGGTAAGCTGGCGAACTTGTTACATGCACAAAGTTCCACTGGCGGCTAAATTCCTTAAATTCAGTCGAGGTAAACTGAGAACCGTTGTCTGATACACACGTCTCCGTGATTCGATGCCTTGCAAAGTGCAACTTTAACTTCTGTACTATCGCCCCCGAAGTAGTTTTGTCAAGGGAATCGATTTCCCAGAAAGAGGAATAGTAATCAACACCAGTGAGATAGTTCCGACCCCTGTAAGTGAACAAGTCAACTCCAACTTTCGCCCATGGCCGGTCGGGCACTTCATGAGGAATGAGAGTCTCCTTAGGCAGCTTACGGTCAAACGCCCTGCAGACATCACACATTTCAATAAACTGCTTGATTTCACCGCTCATTCCTGGATCATGAATGGTTAATACACCTGTCAGGCCGTCGAGTGCGTGGTTAAGCCTTCGTTGAAACTCCTCCTCCACAAAGACCAAAGGGCAGGCGACGCCAGCAAAATCTTCCAAAGGGAGAATTTAATGTTGTTAAGCGTGAACTGTCATCGTCAAGGTCAACGTGCCAGAAACCGTTCTTTGCGTCCACAGTGGAGAACACTTTAGCCCTGGTAGGCTCAGGTAGAATGTTTCAACTGTCGGGGTTGGATAGTGGCTCCTCCTAAGAACTTTGTTGAGGTCCCTAGGGTCCAGGCAAACACGAATCTGTCCATTAGGTTTTTGCACGATAACGAGGCTCGAAACCCAATCCCGAGACTCTGCAGTCGTTCCAATTCTCGTTACAGCTTTCCCTTTAACGCGACAGGTACTCGTCTAAGAGGATGATTCATTCTTCCGCAGACCGAACACCTCTTCCCGAACGCTGAACAACTTTTCTTGGCAGCAGGATGCTTTCCACCACAGAATTTACATCTTAGTACTTCTTTAGGACTGGAATCTCTCGCGTTCCGATCATCATTTTAGCGCCTTTTGTTCGCAGACTTGTCATGGCTTTTGTTAGCTGATACCTTGCTGCGCCTCGTTTGGTCCTTCCATTAGTTTACTGCTTCGCCCTCTTCCCAAGTTTTAGCCGTGTTTTCGTCAACATGGCTGCTCCACAAATGCTGAGGCATCTTTGTAAATCAAGATCTGGGATCTTAAGCATTTCTTCTCGAAGTTCCTGGTCCTGGATTCCACAAATCATCCGGTCTCTTACCAACGAATCTTTAAGATCACCGAAGTTACAGGTTGTCGCCAACAACTTCAAATCTGTAACGAACTATTCTTGTGATCCACACGGGTCCTGAATACGGGTGAAAAACTTGAACCTCTCAACAGTTTCATTTTTTCTGGGATTACAATGCCCGTCGAACGCTTCTAAAACCTGCGTTAAGGTTCTTTCCGACGCGGGAATTTCGAAGGCCAACGTATCATAAATTTCTCTTCCTCGACTGCTGATTAAACACAGAAATAACTTTACTTTCGTCGCTTTGTCTCTGCCGTTCATTGCCAGATCCATTCTAATTCTTGCTTCCATCTTTTCCAACTGTCAGCCAAGTTTGTCGCATCAAAGTCTTACTGAGCGGGAGGTTTAAGCTACGTAATCCTGTCAGTCGTTCCCGCATTTGCACTTGCCTGTTGTCCGTCCGTCGGAATTGTAGGTTTCTTTCGAACAGTTTCTGTCTATCCCGTACTCACTCCTGACACCATGTTTAGTTACGAAGGAATCGTTTCATAACTCCCATCAAGTGTTACATCAACTGCTTTATTCTTTCAAAACCGGTCCTTTTTTAAATTTAACACTCAAACGAGGCTACAACTAAACAATGCCTATTGTTACAGGTATAGATGTCAACTATGTACAACAAGAGCAGTAAAGGTCCTAAGACACCACAGAGAAAAAAACTTTTTCTTAGATACCTAAGTGCCGACTCAAGTATTTTGATGTTGATCATTCAGATGAAAGGAAACTAAAAATCAGCTACTCCAGGTATTCCGTAATGTTCGAGTTTTCGTAGAAAGATTGAGTGATTGACGATTTTACATGCAGAAAAAGCATTATCATCAAATTGCAAACTTGAGTTGACGAGAGTTGTAATGACATTAACAAGCAAAATAACAGGGCCACGGCCACATGGTCAAGAAAGAAAATCAACTTCATTCCAAATAAAATATTTCAGTCGTTGGAAAACCTTACCAGATTCACATCGTTCTCCAGTAAACCCAGAAAGGCAACTGCACGAGTAGTTGTTGTTACCATCTACGCACGTCGAACCATTAGCACATGCGTGGTTAACACAGTCATCAACGTCTTAAGAAAAAGGGAAGAATTACATTGCAGAAGTGAAAAAAAGGTCATTCGAAAGTCCCAAAAAGGTCACTGAGCTTGAAAAGATACATCTAGGGAAGAATTATTTAACCGCTATTCACAAATACTCAGTAAAGAACTATTTCAACCACAGTAGGGTGCCATTAATACTAACCCGTCTCACATCGATCTCCTGTAAAACCAGCTAGGCAAATGCACGTATAGTTGTTCACACCGTCCAAGCACGAACCACCAATGGGATTACAAGTATGATTCGTACAGTCGTCAATGTCTGCAAATGGATATGAAATATCCGTTCTTACCAAGGTTGGTGAACAATCTACACACTATCCAGTTTACACCGGGCCCAAACTGTGAAAACGTCATGACTCTTTTAATTGCAAACTAGATCTTACAGAAACAAGATGTCTGACAATCGAAAACAGAAATGTATATATAGAGAGAAACCTCGTCAACAAACACAAAGCTAGCCGCGAATTTTTTAATTTTTTTAAAATTTTTTTTTCAATACCCACACTGGAAACTGCGTAAGAAGTCGTTGGTACCGTTTACACACGATGCGCATGTGTACGTGCCGCAGCAGTCGTTGTCGATTAATAAAACTAGTGAATTAAGATATGGTTAACTTTCTTAAAGAAAATCAGTGTTAGATTGGGAACCAGCACGTTTAAAACAAAGACTATGATTTGTAATATAGTCTGTTTTCAGTACTAACTTGTCTCACAGTGGCTTCCAGTGAATCCATCCAGGCAGTTACACGAGTAGTTGTTAACACCGTCCAAGCACGAACTACCAATGACATTGCAGGTATGATTCACGCAGTCGTCGATGTCTATAGGCAATAAGGGTTTTCAGAGAAATGTTTAACGAAAAACAGATAGTTGAACAATGGATGCAAAATAGTGTATACGAATTGATGAATTAGTTTATTTCAGAATGATGTTTATTCTTGTATTCATTCTTCGAACGTTGAGTATTTCAAAGATATTGTAAAACACTCGGGTAAAGCTCGAAAATACTAAGGATAAAGCAGAGACAACAAAGAGGTCGAAACCAGCATACCAGAACCACAATGATCTCCAGTAAATCCTGCCACACAAATGCACGTGTAGTTATTGACACCATCTACACATGATCCACCATTAGCGCACGTGTGATTAACGCAGTCATCTACGTCTTTGATGGATTTAAATAGAGACAGCAATAGCGTTATCAGTAGTAATAATCATAAGTCAAGACAAAAGCCGGATTAACAGTCAGAAAGGGATGGACAAATTGTGGGTATCAGAACCTTGCAAGCACAAGTCAAATCTAGGCTCAATTAATCTACCTGTTCCAAGTTAAAGACATGGTGGGCTATTAAAAGTTTTCGTTTGATCCTGGCCCAAAAAGTTTGGTTTGAACCCCTTGTCATAAGTCATTTTACAAAGTATCTTTTTTCTTTTACTTTAATCATATTTTGATCTGAATAGCACCAGATATGTCTGGAATTTAAGGAAGTACACGACGTTTTTCTTTTTAAAACATGTCTCAAGAGTTCTTCTGTCATCTTCAGTTCTGATTTATAAAAAGTACAAAGTTGAATTTAAAGTGTGTAGCAAAGTGCTCATTGGACCAAACAAACAATAGAAACCAAGCAATGTAAGCGATTTTGTACCTGTTCTGTTAGATAGAATATATAAACTATTATAAAAAATACGTGAAAGTCCCAGAGAAAATCTGGAGACAGGTCAAACTCCAGACAACTAGAAGCGCATGATTCGATAATTCAACCTACCAGTCTCACAACGATCTCCAGCAAACCCATCCAGACAGTTACATGAGTAATTGCTGATGCCATCTACACACGATCCATTGTTTCTACACTCATGACTGACGCAGTAATTGATGTCTAAACATTTACGAAATTAAAGCATACCACAATCACCTTTTTCATTATCATTATTATCTTTATTTTATCATTATTATTATTATTATTATTATTATTATTATTATAACCTTACATTTGTCACTTGAAAGTGAAGAAAGTTTATTGTATTTTTTATTTCTTTACTTGTTTGTGAGACTGATTAAAAAAAAAGGAATCCGAAAAAGGGGAAACAGAACAAGGAGGAACTGTTTATGAACGTTTCCACTCCAACCATCCGATCTTAAGTAGCGAGCAAGGATTCTATCATTGTGAAATTTATACCTTTGCAATTCTTTCCATCGCCGGTGAGCCCAAACGGACATGGACCACAGCTTATAATCTCGCTGTTTTTGAAGCAAGTCACATTAGGGTAACAGGAATCTTCGGTACAGTTCTCTATTTTGATATCGCAGTTTGATCCAGTGAAGCCAGCATAGCAATTGCACGTGTAGTTATTTATTAGGTCAATGCAGGTCCCTAGAAAAAAAAGGATAGGATCGATTACACTGATCTGTGATCTCAATGGATCCGCAGTGTACACTATGGGCGCGGATCTGTCAATGGGAGCAGACGTTTTTTCTAGAATTGACTAGTCTATAATCTTCTATCCAAATATTTAACAAAGGTATTTTGGTTTGTAACCAATTCATTTCTTAGATATGGAGTAGAACACCTTTTTGCAAAACATTTAATTGTGGACTCTTCCGAAATGTTACATGTGTTTCCTCGACCGAAGCGTTAACGGTATAAAATAGCCACGTTTCAAAGGACTTTCTGTTGTTTATTGATGAGTCTTTCGAAACCTATGATTACAAACAGTTTATCAGGTTATATGAACAAAGTTCAAAGAAAACGAACCACAGATTTTACATACCCGATGGCCTCAGATGTCGACTTCGGGAGGAAGCTTGTCGTACTAATGTTATTAACGGTGATTAACCTAATTAAGTAGCTATGACGTATCTAATTTTCGTCGCGGCCGAAACACTCCACGCCTCCCTAATTCTTAATTTACATTTCGAAGGTATTGACCTAATTCTTAATTTACATTTCGTAAGTTATTCGTTTCATTTAATGTCCTTTTTCCGGGGTTATCTTCATCATCGTGGAAAGGAACCAGTACGATTAGACGCTTTGTATACAGGTCGCTCGATTGTTGAATATCCTCGACCCTTGTATATACCAACTTTTTCATTCGGCGCTGGATTCCGCTCAGTTCTGAAATGTCGCAACGCTCTGTCCGATCGCTTCGTACACCTTATCTGTCAATGGGCGCAGCAGACGTTTTTCTAGATTTGATTGTTCTATTTTAAACGTCCGAAAAGGTATTGCCAGGGTGGTGAGGGCATATCTCTCTTCTGGAAATATTTAAGGTTTTCGTCCAAAAGTGACGCAGTTGTATCTAATGGACTTTACTATGTTATGAATTTCCAGAATCGTAATCGAATTTTTTGCAACACGCCATGGTGACCTTTTCGATGTATATGTTCCGCATAAAGCTTGGAGAAACGATGCTCACGAGGAATGAGGATCACTTCTCTCTTATCGTAGTAGACCCATTTGCCGGTCCGATGACCAACCACTATTACTCCATCTTCTCTGCGCTTTGGACACAAACGCTTATATTTAGATTTTTGACGTCTGTAAGCATTTTTCTTTGCGCGTCAATGATCCAAAACCTTCTGCTTTAGAAATATCGTCCGGACGTCAGGGTCTTTGTCGCATTCTTCAGACTAACTGGTTCTCTTGCATACATGGCTAATACCTTTGTCTGTTTATATCAATTCTTCTCGCGAGCGAGTCCTGTTCTGCAGCAAGTGTTGTTAATGCCGTTTTCATTGGTAACTCTGGGTGATGGACTTCTGATTCCGGGAGTTGTAGAAATCTAGGTCCCTTTGCCAGTCGCTTTCGCTTTGATATCGCTTGGTCGCTTACCTCGTGTTATCCAATCGGCGATGTTTTATCACTTACCAGTCTTGGGGATTGGTACCTTCCTGTATCTCTCCGATGCGAGTAGCGCGAATGTATTGTAGCCGTAAGATTCCTTTTGGATCATCCTCGACTATGTGGTAGTATTTCGCAAACTTGTAGCGGGATTCTTTGTCCAGAAAGTTTTTAAGCCTTTTGCTTAAGACTGCCGCGCAAAGTTCAATTCGATCGATTGATAATTTCCTATTTGGCGAGAGTCGGTTCTTTGACATGATCAGTCTAGTTTCAAATTTGTTGTCCGGTAATGTCCACCTGATGTAAGCATGCTCCGTAAGCGTTGTCTGACCCGTCACTGAATATGATAAGAGTCGGCAGACCGAGTGCACCTGATGGTTTGAGGCATCTTGGAAATATAACTTGATCCATAATTGCGCAGATCTTGGAAGAATTCCAGCCAGTTAATCCTTTTGCTTCTCAGGGACAGGGTCGTCCCAGCCGAGTTTCTTTTCTGTTGCCCAAAGCTGGCGCATCAAAATCTTCGCTCTGACCGTAACGGGAGCTGCTAGACCAAGAGGGTCATACACGCGGTTTATCTGTGAGGATAATCCTCTTCGTTATTTCGCCAGTAGTTGGGTTTTCTTTGATGCGTCCTTTGGCTTTCGTCAGAGTTAAGTCTATTCCACTTTAAACCGGAATTGATCCTTGTCTGTACTCCAAATGACGCCGAGTACTTTCTCTGTTGATGAATTTTGCTGGTTGGGTTCTAAAGCCATTTCGTTTGCTGTTTTGTCGTTCGAATAGAACCAACCCTTTATCTTGAATCCGCCCTTGACTAGGACTGCCTCAATCTCATTAGTTAGTTGCTTAGCTTGTGCGTCGCTATGTACACTGTCTACAATGTCATCCATGTACGAGTTGGATATTACGGTATTCGCGGCTTGGGATAATTCTCTTTGATAGTTCCGCTGTCTTTCTCATGGCTACGGTCGCTATGGTACCGAGGGTTTGTCTCCAAATGAAACTCTTTGTATAACGTACGTATCCGGATCCCTGCTTGTTTCATGTCGCGCCATAGAAAACGATGCGTGTGTTGCTCTATGATCTTGGTCTTCACGGTGTGATACATCTTTTCACATCTCCGATGAATCCATTTCGTGTTCTCTGAATCGCACGAGGATTCCTACAAGATTATTTAACAGATCGGGACCCTTTGCCCAGTACTCGTTAAGGACGTGTCCCATATAGTTCGCGCTGCTGTTAAAGACGATTCTCACTGGAGTCGATTTCGAATCAGGCTTTAGAACATCGTGGTGGGAGATGTAGTGGATAGGGCCTTTATAAGTTTCGAGCTCTTGCTTGCTTAGTTTCCTAGCTACTCCTCGTTCTACCATGTCCTCAACTTGATTTTGATAAACTCTGCTATGTTCGGGATTTCGCAATAATCTTCGCTCGGTGCTTAAGAGTCTTCCAAAGGCAGCTCTTTTGTTATCTGGCAGGTCGTGTGGGTCGCGAATCCAGGGATATTCAGCGATCCAGCATTTTTCCTGTTCGTTAAATTGAAGGCCTTTCTCGATGAGATGGAGCTCCCTTTCTTCTTTCAGAGTGTAATCGCTGGTTCCAGGAGCGCATTTTCCGCATTTGCAGCCTCCCGCAGCGCGGCGCAGCTAACACCTAATCTCTCGATATTGTATCGTCAATTTTGACTGCTTTTAGGTGGTTTGCACATGCGTCGAATGCTGATTTGTGGTTATTCTCCCGAATGGAAGGGTGTGTCCCGCCTATACATCGTCCAAAACGATTCTTCAATAACATTAGGTGTTCGACATTTCTTTCTTTTACCGGGTGGAAGCCTGCGTAATCATACCCAATGAGGACGTCAACGGCGCCTTTCGGCCGAGTCACGTCGCCCCTTTGTATCTTGAGAGCGTCAAGTGCCTTATCCATGTTAACACTTTGAATGTCGGTGGTAATTTTGTCTATTTCGCAAACTTCCACAAGCGTCGTTTCGCCCTTGAGGTCAATGAGCGGCAATTTGTATTTTCTGGAACTTATCTTCTCTTCCTTCCCTCCCACCTTCACGAGAGAGATTTCCAGTGGTGTTCCGCGCAGTCTTTCTTCCCGTGCTTTGTCGCGGGTTATGAGGCTAATGGATGATGCGTTGTCCCACAAGACGTTTGCATGTCCTCTAGAAGTTTTTATTTGTTGCAACTGGAGGATGCAGGTCTCATTACCCCCATGGCTGCATGCACTGGATATTGCGGATGCGCTTGGAGTCTCTGTCTGATCTTCTTCATGTAATGTGGGATGATGTTTCTTCTTACATTCATTGACGCCGCAATCCTTTTAGAGCGGCAATTGCGTGATCGGTGACCGGTTCTGAGGCAGGAAAAACACGCACCTTTTTCTTTCAATGTTGATAGTCTTTCGCTTACTGTTTTATCGAGGTATACTCTACAATCCTTGGTAAGATGATTCGAGTTTTCGTGAACGACGCACTTGCTGTAAGTTCTCTGGCTGCGGCTGTCGTGTCTTTCATCCGCTGTGGCGTAATGGACAACTGCCTTCGTTATGGCTGGGCCCTGCGCGCGAAGATCAGAATCGTCGTACTCGATAGCGCGTTTTGCGTAAGTAAAAAATTTGAGCAGGCTCGGAAACTTGTTGGTTTTGTCCACAGTGCTGTCGTCAGAACTTAATAGTTTAGCCCATTCTTTGCGTACGTCTGGCGGGAGTTTTCTCTCTATGATGCTTACTGAGCTCGTTGTGGTTATTTCTGCTTCCAAGCCAAGTCTCTTAAGGTCACGATATCCGTCTTCTATGATTCCTACCAGCTCCATGAATCGCTTGTTTTCGCCTTCGCGGATGGATCTTACGCGTCTTATCTCATTAATTATCACGTCCGCGACTTTCGCTGGGTCCCCGTATTTCGAAACCCGTTCATCAGCGCGATGGCAGAAGAAGCCAAGAACGTCCGTCGCGTCGCCAAATCAAGATTCACCAGAAAAAGGAACGAACTCCTGAAGTCCATCTCATCAGCCAGCAATCACGAACTCGTGGAAAACAACTACGCTCAATTCCTGGAAGCATGGAATGTCCTGGAAACAAAGCACGATCTCTACGCGATGCTTTTATCAGACGACGCCGAGCTAGAAGCCGCCGAAATATGGATCAACAAAGTCCAGGAGGAGTTCACCGAAGCGACAAAAGCTAAGATTAACTTTATTAACCACATAGCGGACGTGCAAATGAGAGCGCGCGCAGAAACGGAACAAAGGGATAAGGCGAACAAAGAACGCGAGCAAATGGAACGATTCTTTGATCAAGCAATGATCAGACGAGAAACAGCGCGAGCCATATTTGAAACAGTTGTCAAAGCGCTTCGCACACACTCAGCGCGGACAAAGTAGAGCCGTCTACGGCGAAGAAACTTCAGAAACAGATTGACGAAGCTTTCGCGGAATGCAAACTAGCGAATAGCGCACTACTCGATTTATCTACGCGAGAATCTGCAGCCAATGAGGAAGTGTGCCGTAAGTTAAGAAGGATGTGTGAAATAATAACAGAATGTGTTTTGAAATTTTAAAGAGTAAACATCCGTACAAATAAATAAATTAATCGAATCGATATTGCCTTAAGATGTGCAACCTGTTACTCTGTTGATAAATGTTTGGTTTGTTTCTGCTCTCTTCTACATTTTTAGCCAATGTGGAGGCGGTTCACAACACACGCTTTTGATTACTGCAATTTAAGTGGAATCCTGGAATGTCATACGTGAGAGATTCTGGATTACTGAGGCGTTTTCAAAGCGAAGTTGGCCAAAGTCGAATTTCTAGCACATTTTAAAGTTTTTGTAACTCCGTCGTTCGATCTCCAACCGCGGTAGTAGCAACTTTTTTGCGCGGTTTTTAATGGCAGAGATGGAAACTATCATGTGTTTTTTAGAGCATACATAACACTTCTTTGAAATGAAGATAATTGTTTCCTCTTCCTGAATTCTTAAAATCTTTGGATCATGATCAAGTAATAGAGATGGAATAAAGTTTATTTATCGTGCTCAGTGATTATTTCAGTAGTTTAGTAATGTTGGTTTGAAGGGCTAGCTCTTATACTTGATACTAAATCAAATCGTGCATGAAATTCAAGAGACAATTAATGTGAAACATGATTTCGTACCATTTAAGCACGGAGCTGAAACACAATCGTCTATGTTCTCTTCGCATCTAACTCCAGTAAAACCGGTTGGGCATATACAGGTAAAATTGTTGATTTTGTCAATACAAGTCCCTGACAAAAAAAAGTGTATCGAGGTGACTATGAATACTTGAAACAACCTGTACGAGGCATGGTCGTCTAGCTTCATGTCCGTGTTACTCCTCTTAATCATTTATTAGAGTGGTTTAGCAAGAGGACGGGAACGTCATTTCAGAACAGGAAAGCGCGCGGATAATCTGGACACGACTCTATTTCGACTTCCGGTGTTAGCGTTGCCGTTCTCCCCATCAAGTTCAGGACGTCATTTCGCTGGTTTTCCCGTCGTGATCAAAACGCCTAGGATTTGCGTTAATTGTACACTTATAAACGAGATAATGCTGTTTGGAATGATTTCAGAACTCATTTCCAGGATAACCAGGTTCCTTTCTTTGTTTTATTCGGTGAGTTTGTGAAAATTTACCGCTACATTTATTCTGGATTCCCGAAAGGAAACACGATCGTCAGCAAGCGATCTAAGATTTTAGGGCTCAGTTACCTTTTGTAATTGAGCGTGGCTTTAAGCAACGTAAGGGCTTTTCTTTGATACATTTCTTGAACCATGTATGAAAACTCTAAGAACGGGTACTGTTAATTTTATCGTGAATTAATTCATCAATAAATTAAACTTGCTTCATGTTGAAGTTTATCAAAATGGAAGAACACGAAGGTTACCTGCTACATTTTTTAGTGTTATTTGTTGTCATTGTCGTTTTAACTGTGATTAAAAAGTGCTCTGCGAATTGAACTCAGAGATTAAAAAAAAATTGAGAATAGTTCGGGTTTCCACTTTTTTATGTCTTTAGTTTTGATCAGCGCCGGTGAAAACTTAGACAAGAAAGTCATCTACGAAAGAAAATAACAATCAAATTGATTTCGACACGGCTTTCTAAATCTATTAATTTGATTCAGTCTTGAACGAATTTATTCGTTAAAAAAATTAAATTAAACAAAAACAAAACAAAACAGGAACGAAGTCTGATTCCTCAGTCTAACCGTTTCGTTGGTGACTAGTTTGAGTGCATTTCATTCGTTCATGGTTCAACGGGAACTCATTGTAAACAACTCCATCGTTGGGTCGCTTGATCTCTACATGTTTTCGCCATAACTCCTGATAACTCCGTTCAAAATGCATTGCAACTCTAAGAAGGTGGTGCTTAAAATAGGTGTACTGTCATGATTGAGAAGAATATTCAGCAAACAAGGGTAAAAACGGCGACGATTTCAATTCCAAATTACACTTTACAATTAAAATCAGAAGAAAAACGAGCAGTGCTGAAATCTAGAAGCACGAAACGAAATGACAGCGATATAAATCATAGAAAAAAAAATATTTTAGTGGGCTTCAAAATTTGATAGATGAATCTTCAGACTCGAGACTTAACTGGAATGAAATAATTTCAAAGTTTAATCGCCCATGTGGATTCATATTAACAACTCACTTGTAGTAAGCTATCCTCGGTTTGTGCTTGTTACACTCTCAAAGAGGATAATTTCGTTGTCCTTCAAGTGGTCTATGAAACCGAAAATTCAAAGCTGATAATGATCCTAAAGAGCCAAGGTTAGGATATTCAAGAACAAATATAACGTGGACGGTTCGTTGAAACGACTGCTAAGTCACTTTTCAACACAACGCGACGGCGTTCTCGACCCAGTTTTTTTCTCGGCATTTTTGCTGCGCGCGCCGTTCTGAAATGACGTTCCCGTCCTCTTGCTAAACCACTCTATTAAGTATGAAAGATCTGAGTAGTTCTTAGTTTTACTTTGATACATTGTTACCCGCCTACAATTTAAATTTCTCTCGATCCGCTGGATCCGATTGCTATTGGCTGATCAATTAACACGTGGCAATACATGAATCTAAATGCATATGTATCCTGCGTAGGGAAATTCTATGAATTCACCCTGCGCAAGATCCCTATGCAAGATGCATTGGCTGAAGCGCGTGAAATTGGTTCGATGCTTGTGACGTCAACCAAGCCAGCCATTTGAAAATGAGATGAAAGCTTCTATTTTAAAAAGTGCATTCGACTCCGAAGCATCGAAAAGTAATGAAAACGCATCATAATGTTAAGAATTGCCGCTTAAAACTTACCACGAATGCAAGGAGACGGCAGGCATTCGTCGATTTCAACGTCGCAGTCGTATCCTTTGTAACCGTCATCACATACACACGAGTATTTGTTAACGTGATCGACGCATGCTCCTATAAGTAAAAAAAAAATGAAAAATGAATACCTATGATAACCAATTAGTATTGGCTGGGATTGTGTTTCTTGCTACTTGTTACAGTATATGGTGAAGGAAAATCAGCCAATCATGACAAAAAACATTAGTCATGATGATTTGGACGGACAAGCATCAATGGCAAGGTTACCGAATAACCCTATACATTATTTGCTGTTCGTTGATTAAATAAAAATAATGTCGTAAACGATGTTTACTTTTGGGACCTTGTGTTTGCTTTAGAATAATAGTGAGCTTTACAGAAATTGCTCTGCAGTAAGTTTTGTCCATTAGTTTTCGATTCGTGCTTTTGTCTCTTTTTTTTCATATAGTTTCGAAAAATTTCCATAGAATCCCGGACGATTCCATAACAAATCATTACTTCCCAAGGTAAACCATTTTTTTTGCCATTGTTTGTTTTTATTTCATCAAATAATTATATACCTGAAAAAAGTACGCGCTTCTGATTGGAAAACGGTTGCATATTTCAAGCAAAACTAGTACAAAGCTTTAATACGATTGCAAAGTTGTAACCGGAGTGCAAATAGCTAATAGCGAACGCTGCCAGAATTTCGTGTGTCTTGACTTGCTGTGAAGGTTTTTTAGAGTAAATTAATAATGAGCAATAAGATGATTTCTCTTGCAATTTGGTGTAAATAAGCACTTGTAAATTTTTGAAAGAATGTAAATTGCACACGCCCTACAGACTCGTGCAATGTTGCTATCTTTTATAAAATTACTTGCGCTTATTGACGCCAAATTGCACACGAAATCATGTTACCAAAAGATCATACACTGCAGTTTATTATCCCTTGCCTAAAATGATTGAATGCATAACAAAGGAAAGGGGTTTTACGGAAATCTTGCCGTTTGTTTACATGGGTGATACAAAATCAAAGAAATTTTTGATAACTCACCAAATGCGCAGGGTGACGACTCACATTCATCAATATCCTCAGTACAATTAAGCCCTCGGTATCCAGGATCACAAGTACATCTGTATGCGCCGGTGTAGTCCGTGCAATTTCCTGCGAAATAATAACAAAGCTCGCAATTTGATCCGGAGGACAGCACCAATTTTGATGAAGAGATTTTTAGATGATAATGTGCTATTAGATAGTGAAAACGCACGATTCAACATCCTGCAAACTTATGTTTTGTCATAACTAGACACATCTCCGTTTGTACTCAGACGTTCATGATGGTAAAATCTACGCGCAGTCTACACTTGGTTTTCACACTTATTAGCATGACAAATCTTATGTGCTCATAAAATTTTTCCATGTCAAAACCAATTGAAAAGTATTTGACAAATTATTGTTCTTTTCATCCATCTTTTGACTTTCTTTTCAAAAAGGTGTTGAGCCTAAATGTGAAAAATGATTCACTTATGCATCCTCTGGATAGCATTGTCACCTGCAAGCCTAAAGTTTAAACTCAAGCCCATAACGGGGCATCTGAGTACAACTTTGTATTACTAACCATGGGCACAAGGAGAAGAACTACAATCATCATAATCGGTGTCACACTTGCGACCAACATATCCAGGGTCACAGATACACCTGTAAGTATTGATTCCATCGATGCACCGACCTAAGAAAGAAAATGAATACACAAAAAATCGATTTAAACGAAAAAGGAGAGTCCTTAGGTACCTAGCGTCTGTTGAAATTAATGGACAGTAGACTTGTCGTGTCAGTAAAATCGTATTCAACGTAAATCACTCCTTTCACATTCCTGATTATGCCCTGCTACAAAATAACGCCTCTTACCTAGTATCAGTTCCGTTTGATATTTATCGATGTTATACCTAGTTTAGGACTCTAATACGGGAAAATATTCCTTTTTTTTGAAATTTTTTCTATATCGAGTGGATTGAATAAATAAATCATGACTCTTGCGTGGCTAATTGAAACTCATACATTTCTGTCTTGAGTTCGTCTGATCTACCCTGGCTAAGCCACAGAATCGTTCCATTTCCACTGTAATCAAACTCTTTCTGAATGCGATTAGCTTTCTGGTCACTGCTTTGATCTTTGAAAAGGATAGTACAGCAGGGTTAGGGTTAGAAAAGCAAATTTCCAGTTAGTAGATGAGTGCTCCGTTTTTGCGGTTTAAATCCCTAAACAGTGTCTCCTAAAGTAAAAGTGTTCACTGCCTTCTATGGCATGGTAAAAAGGAATTATAACTCTACCTCGAATACATGGAAAGGACCGGCAATCGTCGATGTTAGTCTCACAGTTTTCCCCAGTAAACCCTGGCATGCAATTACACGCATAAAACCCTGACCCTCTTGGCTTGTTTGGGTGGGGCATACAGGTTCCATTATTCTGACACTGGTAGACAACCAAGGAAACACTGATATTAGCATACGATGTGGCTTGACAAGCGTCTGTTGCTTTGAGAAAAAACTGAGTCGAGGTATCATTGGTGGCATTCCAAATCAAATCTTTGTCGACGACCGACGCTTTGGTTGGGCTTCCTTGCATTAGTGAAAATGTAACAGGCATGCCCTCTGGGTCCACAACATCAATGGTCAGTTGCAAGGCTTCTCCAGATACAGCGAAGTACTCGGTGGTGGGCGAAAACGTGGGTGGAAGGTTAGCTAAAGGTGTGAACACTTTTTATTAGAAGCTATTGAGGAAAACCTTGAAGAGAATCAAGATAATCATGAAGCAAAGTTGTAAGTTTCACGAGCTGGTCACTTCAAATGTAAATTTCGATGTTGCGACAGTACATTTCATCGTTGTGGAAGGAAATCCAGAAGCATGGATATGCATGATCAAAAAACAAACTAACAACACACACACACACAGTTATACGACAGAGGAAAGTCGAAATAGCACACCCCCAAAACGTTTTATTGACAGCCGTTGAAAAGTTACCAATCAAGATTGAGCGCGAACCCGCATCATGCGAAGGCGTAGTCAATCAACCTCATTGCCTGAAGGACGCCAGAATTATACGCACGAAACGTCACAATTCACGGCTGAAGGGACTATATCGTTGACAAATGATACTATTTCATGATAACGGTGATTAAAATTACGACAAATAGCAACAACGCCTGTTGTGACATCAAAAGTTTTGCTGTAAATTTGAGGATTATAACTTTAGCATTATAATCAAGAACAATCCTAAAGTTAATAACTTGGCAAACACCAACTATTTTCAAGGGGAGGGGTGAAGGGGGGCTATTGCAAGGCATAATAGGCATCTAGAAACTTGATATTAATTTAAATATCCTAATCTCATTTGCAGATGTAAAAAGAAAAAAAAACTTTATTTGAATTACCTTGACGTTTCGTCCAGGAGGTTGTGTTGACCTTAGGAAGACACTGGTAGCACCAGTCGGTAGGGTTTTTCTCGTCTGGGGCGAAGCAATAACCATTTATCAGGCAAGAGTTCCCCTGCAGTGTAAGATATATGGAATATATTAATTGCGAAGAACGAGCGTTTAGATCTGATGTGAGATGGGGACCGATCTACCAATAACTAGATCAAAAGTACGCAAATCTTGGAGCCCCTAGATCCACCTGCGAAGGCCAGCCTTTGGCATCAGCAGGAGTATATTATGTAAAAAAAGTTTTGCGCGTAGCTAGCAAGGGAATGTTTGCTATTAATTTCAATTTGCTCTTTTGTCTATTTTTTCCCAAACCCTGACATTACTAATGGATAAATTAAAAATACTGGGAAATACGCAGAGCTTGGCTCACCTGTAAACATTAAATTCAAGCTAATTTCCTCAAAACCATCAGGAACACTTCATGATTCAGACTCCCAGCTTCATTAGTTGTAAACCGTTTAGAGTTAAACCCTTATTATTTACAATAAGAAATAATTTACTCGGGTTTATTTCGTTTTGATTTTCTAAACTTAAATTAAAGAGACTTGCCTTGAAGAAGCATCCAGAAGAAATGTTACAAGTCATGCAAGCTGAATCATACGATAAAAAGGTGAGATTTTTGACGCTTTTGTGTTCACCATCGTTAGATACAGATATCATCAGGCCAGCGGCAGCAGTCCCTCTATCAATGTCTGAGAAATAATTTTGCGTGACCGGGGACTGTGGTAAATAACAGTCAACAAGTACCAAGTCTGTCATTTTACCAGAGAATCTCTGTTCTGCACTGTTCGGCGTCCAAGGGCTATCAACAACCTATGTTCATCCGGTAAACACAAAAATATGGACTGAAGAGATAAACTAAATGAAACAAGAAAACAAATAAAAAACAAAAACAAACAAACAAACACATTATCACAATAAGAAAACGAGATCATGAGAACAAACGAATATAAAAGCGAGTCGTCTGTCTCTTTCATTCAAGAGTTTGCAATCAGGCCAAAAAGTCGCCCGACCAAAATTCGTATTTTACTGTGTAAAAATTAGAGAAATGTGTGATATGTTAAAATTGCTAACCTTGAATTCGTTTACATGACAAGTCATGTAATGCCAAATACTGTAACCTTCTTGCATGGTCGTTTGCGCCTGTCACATAAGCCGTCCTCCTGCAACCTAGCGGTGGCAGCGTATATTCGATGTTATTGAAATTCTAAAGAGCACCAAACACCCACGAGAAAAGAAGAAAGCACTCTGTGTCGCAGTTCTGTGGGGTTACAGATATTTTTTTGGTTGATTCTGGTAATAACTGATCTTTAACTGTCGAACTATGGCGGGCAGAAATAATCGACCGTTCTGTCAATCGGTAGGATATATCGATTGAGCGATTGATTGACAGTTTGATTGATGAGTGACGGACTGACTAATTGAACATTAACCGGTCGTTGTTAAGTTGGAAATGAGGAAAACGGAAGTGTTTTAAGCAGCCTACCTGGAGATTGTAGGTAATTGATAGATGGACACCGAGCAATCGGAAGCTGTGTAGTCTTTGTAACATACGCAGGAGCCATTAACACATTCTCCGTTTAGAGTACAATCATTTGGACACAGCAACTCAGCGACTTGTTCAACCAAAGCTTTAGCCACGGGATTTGCTTCGCTACTTTTGTTTGCAAGCATGGATAGATTTTTGGCACCCAATATTCCACACTGTTCGACTAATACTGCCACACTACCACTTGCAAAGGAAAGGTCCCCTGTAAACTTTTAAACAAGAAAAAAAAAAAAAATAGGCTGTAGAATAAATACCTGTATCTTTAGAGACTTGGATGATGTCCCCTATTTTTAAATTTTCAATAATCATTCAGCCAGTTTCAACAAAATTCAGCGAAATATTGCTGAAATTTTTATTGAGAAAATCATTGAACCGGGTTCAGCAAAATACAGTAATTTGAAAGTGGCGAAAGGAAACGGGCATTTATGCATTAATTTTTATATATTTTTTGATGTATTTTGTAAATATACTGTTGTCGTTATCCTAATTTTTATCATTATAACCATGAATGTAATATAATTGATATACATACATTTATGATCATCAACACTTTATTATATGTAATCAGTTTTGAAGGGAAGAGACCAGTCATTTTCCATTATAATCACAAGCCTATCATAATTTTCTCACCAAACAGAGGTTATGCTTAATGTAAAAAAAAGGGCTGGATTTCTCTATCAATCGGTGACTAATTATTTTTTCCATTTAAAGCTATATACTGAATCATGCAAAAAAAAACAGAAAAAAAAACGCTTGGGAAAAGAAACCCCCCATGTTAAGCTTGATTCGAATTGAAACAAAATCTTACATAATAAAGAAAAAGAAAAGAAAATCTACTCCATCACTGTTTTACTTTAAAGGATTGACAGCAATTTTAAAAGCCTCGAATAAATTGACTCCATATTTTCATTGAGGATTAACGATTAGTTATCCCAAAATTTAAATCTAATGGTGAGCTGACAACTGTTTTTTCTTCTGGTCATTCACCAACTAATAAGAGCTTCTAAGTCACCCATGATATTCTTCTCCCCATGCGATGTGTATCGCAAGCTTTCTCTTATTTATGCCTTGCTAACAGCTAATCCAAAACGGACAAATCAGCAGAGAGTGAAAGAGCAGGTTTTGCTATAAAATCCCCTCTGGAAAAATTGATAAACCAGCCAGTCATCTTGTCAAAGAGTAACAGTGGTTTAAAGGTATCGAAATCGGGGCAACTTCTGACGATTTGGATCCACTCAGAACCTATTTATTAACATCTATTTTTCAGATACAAGAGCTCTTCTTTGGCTGGGCAACAATTTGATAAGGAAGAACCATCATTACAGACAATTAGACTTTTTGAGAATAATCATTGCCGATTGGTGGTGTGTAGTTGAAGTACACAGATATCATTTTTTGTTTTGTATGTAAAAAGATAACCAGAAATGTTTCGTTCTACCTTACCTCTAAATCAGCCGAACATGTCTCAACTAGCTGCTGTACATTCACTCCAAACTGCGCACAGAGCTTACCAAGCTTAGTGTCGGATATTCTCTCAGCACAATAACGTGTGGCGTTTTCTTTAGGAATTTGGTCGTCAGCTACTGCCCTCCTGAAACGATGATGCGCGTTAAGTGTATGCTTAAATAACTGTAAATCTTCATCTGTGACATCATCGGAGTAGTGAATATCCCTCTTCTGTCGATCACACAACTCTGTAGGCGAGGCATCTTCCATAGCTGTGTTCAGTAGAGTAGGAAAAGCGGCATCAAATACATTTTGGCAATGAGTTTGACTGTTTTGACCATCTATGGGACACAAACATGCCCTGGCATATTCCACATAGCCTGCGTTTACGTCATCCGGAAGTGTATCAAAAAAGCTTTCACCGACCTCCAGCCTGAAAAGTAAAAGGCAGATAATCTCCGGCAGCTTGAAGAAACAAACCAAAGTCAAAATAGCTTAAAACGTTAGGAAATCCCGCATGAATAAAGAGCGCTCTTATAAGAGAGGATCATTCGAGCATAATGTACTGACTAGCTATACAGCTAGCTTCGTGGGTTTTATAGAAAATAATTGAACACAGCCCGAAAAGTCATTGTGCTAAGAAGACATAAGCAGTGCAAATGATAAATCGATGTTCGGACGTTTTCTGCGTACTTAACAATATGATCGACGTTACTTAGATTTTCTTCTAAGACATAATTACCTTTCCTTCATCCCTTCCGCATCGATTGTAGCGGGATTGTGAAGACAAAGTCCTCTTTCATTGTTTACGTCCTTTGCCCTTGGTGTGAAAAGGGAAACATCAAGTCCCCAATAGTTTCTTGCTATTTCAACCTTTGCTCCTGATGGGAAAAGCACCTTAACAGGAAAAAATTAAAATTTTTAAAGTATACTTAATTTGTAGTTGAAAGGAAAGATATGAGGAGCTGACAAAAGCTCCTCTTTAAGGAAGCCTCAGAAATTCCATCGGCCGCCCTTCGAGTGAACAATTAAGCTCTGATGTCCTTTCCTTTACATTGAGCGGAAGGCCACATCAGTCACTGCAACCGAGTTTTATGGCTCTGTTATCTCGAGCGATCTTCATGTTCCGGTGAATTCGGCTGTCGTTCACTCATAAAACACTCGCCTTGAAAAGTTTGTTTTCTCATTGTCATATTAAAAAACTTGTGTGTTTTTATGAGCCAAAGTTCGGTCGGATTTCACTAAACATTTCACTTTCAGATTCTGTATTAGAGACTAAAAACTTCAGGCAAAAGTGTTAATTTCGACCTGCTGAACTATTTAAGTTTGTAAACTATTTCAGAATGTGAACATTGATGGTTTGATATTTTTGGCACTTTTAGTCTTATACAGCCGATCCCATAATTTGAACTATTATAACAAGGATTCTGATTGGCTTATTGTAGCGTGCTTTAGGTGAGTATAGACCATGCTGATGACACTGTTCTTCGTTTTGGAATTGAAACTTGTTTTAAAAATTGAAAGTAATGCGTGGGGAAATTTAACGATTCTTTATCATAAAACAAATAGAGAAGCCTTGACTGTGCTCTGTTCTGTTGTAAAGCACTTAGAAACACTCTCCCTACACTTCTTTCGTGCTCTAACCGCTTCTTGCGTGCTTTCCTAAAGGAAAAAAAAAAACGCGCCGAGTTCATTATTGAGTTTTACATGCACGCGGGAATTTTTAAGAGCACGAGAGAAGTGCGGAGAAGCATGAGTGTTCTTAAAAACTCCCAAGTGCTTATATAACTCAGTAATGCTTAAGGAACAATTTTTTTTTATTTCTTTTAATTAGAAAATGTATCGTGAATTGCGCACGCTCGTATCGATGACGTAGGTTGCGTGCAGTATACCTCAACAGTGCACTCGTGTGATGTTAGGCGCGTGCTTTATGGAAATTTATAATAAAGTTCGGATATAACGCGCGCTGTCATTGGTTCAAAGAGCGTGCTCTATGAGAGTATAGAGCATAGAGCTGAGCTAAAGCTGTCACGCCATCTGCCAAATTGTACCATGTTCGACCTTTTCCGGGACTTCTTTTCAGCTTTATTCCGATTATTGAAAGTGAAATTTCGGACCAAGCGAGCCGGCAAGTAGTAGAAAAATCAAATAAAGGTTTGTAAACATACCAGGCGCCGTAATTTACGTTATTAAAACGTGAGCAGATACGAAAATCCTCAAAGGAAAAACAAAATAGACATTCCGAGTTTTAAAGATTGATTCACGCTCAGTTAGATTGCAAGCTTACGTACGGAAATAAAAATCAAACACAGCTAATATTCAGATAGCATATAAAGTTCAGTGTTCAAAAACAAAACAGAACAAAACAGAAGTGATGAAAAATATAACCAAACTGACATAACTGTGAAAATTCATTCTAATCATGACGGTTTCTAAGCGAATATGATCATGCTGAAGTCCATCGCGGCTCGCTCATCATGGCGATCTCCGGTCATCACAGTAAAGCAAGCCTCAGAAACTACATCGGCCGCCCTTCGAGTGAAAAATAAGAGCTTGTTCTAATATCCTTTCCGATGCGTTGAGTGGAAAGTCACATCTGTCACTGCAGCCGAGTTTTGCCGCGCTGTCATCCCGAACGATCTTCATGTTCCGGTGAATTCGGCTGTCGTTCATTCAAAAAACACTCGTCTTGAACAGTTTGTTTTCTACCTTGCCATGTGAAAAAACTCGCGTGTTTTTATGAGCCATAATTCGGCTGAAGTTCACTGAACATTTCACTTCAAGATTCTGTCTTAGAGACTTAAAAACTTCCGGCAAAACTGTTAAATTTGACCTGCCGAACTATTTTAGTTTGTAAACTATCGCAGAAGGTTAACTTTGATGGTTTGACACTTTTGACAGCTTTAGTCTTGTACAGCCAATCAGATCATTTGAACCATTCTAACAAGGATTCTGATTGGCTTATTGTAGCGTGCTTTATGAGAGTATAGAGCATGCTGACGACACTGTTGTTCGCTTTGGAAATAAAGTTTGTTTTGAAAATTGAAAGTAATGCTACGTCTCGTGTTTCTCCCTACACTTCTTTCGTGCTCTAGCCGCTTCCTGCGTGCTTTATAACAGAACAGAGCTCAGTCAAGGCTTCTCTATTTGTTAAATAATGAAGCGCGTGAAGCAACTCAGTTATAAATAACTATTAAAAAAGAGAAAAAAATATATAAATATATATATAACAGTCATTTGCTTACTTCATATCGGCTACTGCTCCCGGGTATAACCTTTTTTTATGGAAATTCCAGGAGATAAGCACTTCTTGCTTCGTATCTTGACAGTAAGAGGCGTTGTGTCGTCCCGAAGCATAAAATCGTTGCAACAGCTGAACTCAATCACGTCATTGTGATCTCTAAGGACTGCACACAATTGCAACTAACTCTTCTCTGTCCGGGCTGGTGGTCTTCCGGCTTTATACCGTTACACGACCACTGCCTCGTATGAACCTATAAAAAGTGACAGTTTTGATGGAGTTCATAATTTTCATACAATTTGCTAACTGTGATGAAGTATTTCAGTAAGTTAGTTCAATATGATCTAGCCATTCGCATTTGTTTAGCATGAACTTGCTGTCTAAATTCGAAGTCCAGACCAACATGCCCACTTATACGTTCCGATGGTGAATATCTTTGTATAAGCATGTATCTTAGAGGTTTTTTACGCGATATTAGAGGTAAGTAGTACGAGAGAAGATGATATCTTTAAGTAGAGAACGTAAAGAATACTGGAAAAGACAGGTCGAGAGTCCTTGACTCAAATAGCAAAAGCGTGGTACGACTCGCAGCTAGTTTCCCCCTAGTTGTGACCCAACATTCTTAGGTCAAAGACTTGCTGACATTATAAACAGCTTCAACAGAGTTTGTGGATGGATTTATCTCACATTTGCCTGGCCTGCACTGTGCCAATCTCATTATATGCCCCTGAAACACTTAAAACCTCTTTTAATCAGTCATCTCAAAGCAGTTTGTTCTTATAAAACTTGAGGTCCTCATGATTATTGATAGTGCTCAATTAACAAATAGCGAAAGAATATGTAAAACTCCGTGACACTTTTTGTTTCTATTCCGATAAGCCAGCTTTCCATGCAAGATAGCCGTCTGAAGTTAAAACGAATTCTTTACTCAACGTCAACCGTCAAGAATGCCACCCAATTGCAACCAATTACAAAAAAAACAAAAGCTCTGGTTGGTTAAAATGACAACGCATGTATCCTTCAGCTCTTTGGAAAGCATGAATAACAATTACAATGTAACAAGTGAAAATAATTCTTCTAAACATTTATCAGTGTACTCCTTACCTCAAAGTTCCTTTCCGTATTCCTGTAAAGTATAAAGTCACCAAGGCCCATAAAATTGAAATACCTGGACACATGTACACACAAAGACAGCTGATTATTTGTTTTATCTATACCTGATGTTCTGTGCAGGATTTATGTTATCTTTATCATACCACAATACATACCTCTGAGGACAGCAAAACTACGGGTCGAGAATTGTTTGGAAAATGATTGAGCTTTACTTGAGTCTCAATCATTTTTCACATCTTTGTTAGGATTCTGTTTGGGTGCCTTTTGGGAAATTTAGTTCACTTATATTCTTCTGTTATGCCACGAATTTGTTCTTCCTGTTCATTTTTGTTTCTTTTTTATATTGGTTTTTTTGCGCTTTTTTTTGCCTTTTTGTCTCAGTTTTTTACTTAATTTCAGTTAAGGAATAACAGCTTGTCACACAGTCTGTTCTATTTTCTTTCCGTTCGTTTCCTTGCAGCCATCTTTAAAGTTATATGAAATTTAAGAATCATGCGTGAATCGAGTGAATACCAAACAAAAACAAAACAAAACAAAACAAACTAACAAACAAAAAGACAAAACGAAAAAAGGCAAGACGAAAAGAAACAAATTGAAGAAAAAAGAATCGGCAAGAAGTCAGTCTTTACAAACCCTCCAAAAGACGAATAATGAGGATCTGTGATCGATGTACAGGTTTCTATGGTATTAGCCGGTGGTTGTAAAATAGTAACCTGAAATGGAAAAGATTAAGTAAGCATGCTATGTGATTTTGTGCTCTTCTTTCTTGGTTTTTTCTCATTAATCCTTTGTTCCCCTTGCAAATGAAAACTAAAAGCGCTTAAAATCCCTCCATAGTTCATTCTGCCTTCATAAGACCTTTTAAAACTATCCAAGTTGACTTCGTATTGACGTACACTTTTCAACATTTAGTGGTGGCCATAAATGATTATATGAAATCGTTTCAAAAGTTTGCTGTCATCTTGGACGATTTGCAAGGAGACTTCTTTAAACGAGATATATGTGACTTTGCTTGTCAACCACGGTTTCAAAAGTCTTGAATTTGATGTAAAAATATCGAGTGTGACAAAATGCTCCTTTGAAATCGGGATAAATTTTTCTCCTTTTGGAGGGAGTGACCTTCACAAAAGTGACAGATTTTGCAGCTCCTGTCTTGCACACCTCTAAGTGTTTGTTCTTCTTCGAGTAAAAGGAAAAAAAGTTTTTCATTGTTTAAAAAATTTTTCCGACTATTGTCTTGTTTACCATGGTCACTAAACATGAGCTTTGCAGTTCTATTGATCTCAATGAAATTGATACATTACATGAAATCGATAGCTTGCAGAAGAGGTAACACTTCCGATAATTATTCTACTGTGGCTCAGTGGTTAGAGCATCGGAGCGCGGAATCCGAAGGTATGAGATTCGATACCTCATGGGGACTCAGAATTTTTCTTTGTCCCACGCTCGGGACAAGACGAAAACAACAGCTGTTTCTGCTTTGAAGTTTTTCGTTTCTTTTTAAATCGTTCTGATATTTTGTATACGTACCCATACTGTTGGAAGATTAGCACGCAACCAAAACGGGTCGTGGATTTCAGATCTCTCTAGAACTATGGCTCGAAGTCCAGTGGAAATTTGAGTGTTTTGAGGGCAGGTTGCCTTAATGTTTAAAGTGACTGGTGTAGTCCCTTTCAACTCGATTTCGCATTGCTGCTGGTTTACTAACTGTACTTCATCGGGAAGCCAGAAATAGAACTTTGGGTATCCAAAGATCTCATGTTCACGGGCGGGTATCGTTGGTGTAAAAGTAATCTGTTAAATGCTGAGATCACAACTTTGAAGCTGTAGTATGGTAGTTCTACGATAAACCTGCGAATAGGATACAACCTGAGTTCAAACTAAATTTCAAGGGAGGAATGGACAGAAAAAGGAAAAAAAAAAGGTAAATAATGGAGGGAATGAAAAATGAAAGGAGGAAGGCAGGGACTGGAGAGAAAGGAAAAAAAGGACCATGAAACAAACAAACAAACAAACTACTGATTCACCTGTATGACTGCAAAGAATGGTTCCGGCTTTTGACGGCGACCACACGTTTTTCGGGGAAGTTGTAAACATTGCAGAGACATTGCACGATATCTGTTTTAAGGACAAGAGAGGAAATAAGTTGGCTTTATGATTCCACAATACCAATATAGAAAGCGACAATGGTGTTATTTTGAAGGATCTTACCCAGCTGCCTATTGTGTAGTCTTCGCCTGATAGTTGGGAGATCAGAGTCGCATCTGGACAAGGACTAGGGTTTTGGCCGCCGATGGGGATATTACCACAGAATGTTTCTGTCTTTAGCAGATTTCCCTCTGCAAACCATTCGATCCTATACGTCACATTTTTCCAATTGGCGATCCCGTTGAGAATGTTGACTTTACAGACCAAAGTTACTGCAATTTCTTCACCGTCGGCGACTGCGATTTCTGGATCATCGAGATCGTCACTAGAAAACTCTTGTGGTAAGTCTAATAAAAAAGTGTTGAAAGATGGGGAGGAGTAAAAAAGTGTATAAGGCAGTAAATAACTTGGTACATAAATTACAATAAAAAACAAAAGTGAAAAAGAGATAATATTAGGTCAATGACTGCATAATGTGAGTTACATTTCCAATAATCAACCTTAGTAAAATGTGATGTAAAACTTTAGTTCTGGAGGGAATATCTAGTGATAAGCGGAGCGTCTTTCACAATTTACAAAACTTGCATCAGGCATAACCCAACCATTGTGGTGAGAAAGTTAAAACTAGTCACAGTTTTCCAATGTGACTGGCCTAGTTGAGAAATACACGAAAAGACCGACCGCTATTTTTCCTCAAAGGATAGCGCGTAGGAAAGACTCTAAAATTATAATAATAATTTATTACTTATATGGCGCAAAATACTTGTGGATATGATCTTATGCGCTAAAACTGATAATAGAGGGAGGGGGGGAGGGCGTGTCCTGAGGATATTATTACAAAGCCTTATTGGGGGGAGTAAAAAAATATCATCGCAACAATTGTTATCACGACGATAGGTTGTATTCGTAGATGTGATGAAGATTACTTTTTAATCACTTCCCTTAGATCGCTCGGCGCAATGCCGTTGTTTAAAATCTAAACTGTTGAACAGTTAACGTTTTGTTAAGACGGTTTTTAACCCGGAAATTTAAAAATTTCCTATATTCAGACCTTTCTTTCTATTCTTATCTTCTCGTTTAACGGTAGTTACGTAACTTTAAGTCTCTAACCTATTTGAATGCTTTTAGATTGATATGAAATTTGGGAAAAACACAATACGTACCATGGCAGTCAGGAGGTTTTCCTTCTTTCCCATAAGGACATGGTTCCCCGAAGCCTAAGTAGGGTTAAAAATAAAAGGACACTGTAGACGTATCGAAGCCTTTCGACAAAAAGAAAAAAATTAAAGAAAATGGGGTGAAAATTGTTCATTGATGATGATAAGGAAACATGTGTATGGTTAGTCTCCCCATCATAATCAATAAACCTCGGAGTACACATAAAAAAATACAATTTTTCATGCGAACATAGCGCCCTTACTTCCCAATGCAGTTACTCTTGTTAATTCGTTTGTTCAGTAGTAAATAATCTATAATAATCTTTGGTCACAAACAATACGCTTTTCAAAAAGAGTACATCAGATTTGCTGAGGCTTACGTTCTTACGTTCGTTTTTACGCTTACGACTTCCGCTTCTATTCTTAACTCATAAAGGAAGCCGTTCGTATTGGTCGATTGCCTCTAGATATTGCTTAGGGTTAGCTCAGCGAAAACTATCAAACCTACCAGCACAATAACCGACTGCGCAATACCATGGTGGTCTTAGATAGTAAACGAATACGTCATCTGCACACTTTGTTATATTAATGTCAAACGAAGTAAAGCAACCGTTGCTCAAATCTAAAACGTTAACACAAGCTCTGCGGACGACGTTTTCTCCTATCGCTGTGGGATGCACTCCGTCCAACCATATTGGAGCTTGCGTACCACAGCGGTTCGGTGATACTTTCTTTTCTGGCATTTTTCCCCCAGTGAAGCTTGTGAAACGATACCATCCCCATCCGAGTCCCCGATCACATATTGGATCTTGTCCCGGTTCCCAAATAGCCTTAATGCTGCGGCGGGGATCGTTAATTTCGATGTATGTTGAGCAGCAAGAGCCATCATTGCAATCCACTTGCGCTAGACAGGCAGCGCTAGTAAGGAGAGCCACTGTCACGATGCAGCGGATCATGACAACGTCACCAAAGCTTATCGTGTTCTGACCAAGCTCTTGTATAATATTCGTTTAAATTCTTTAAGGAAGTTGTATGCCAAGATTCTATTTTAGCATACCGTGTATTCGGGTTCGTGATTGGTTTAAGCTTACGCAAATAATTAAAAAAGGGTGGGGGAATTTTAACACGGAAAGAATTGTTATGGTAATTCTGGTTTCAGTTTTGTTCCGTCAGCGCCGAAACCAAAATTGCCTGACAAGCAGTTTTTATGCAAGATTGCCATGTACATGTACAGATGACAAAACCGCGTACAAGAACCGAATTAAACTACATGAAGTCTCAACGAACTGAAGCCATTCACCACTTTGTGACTTTGAACCTCTATGGACGGCTTTTGATGAAAAAAATCGACAGTAAAATTTATCGCGCCTAGGTGGTTTTAAAGACATCCGGTTCGTAACAAGCAGATTCTCGCCCAAACGGCACATTTGCATGAATAACAGTTATTCCTAATCCTTTCAGTAATAAAGGTATTTCGAGGCAAGATCAATTGTGCAAACTCCAACCACGTCGACTAATTATTTGTTCTTCAGCCGATTTGTAGTTCTGAGTTGAACATTTCGCGTAACACCTACATGTAGCTCTAATCTACAAAATACTAGATTTTTAGCTCTGAAATAGCTCTGTGGATACGATCTTGCGTAGAAAAAAAAATATCAGTGAAGCTTGCTAAAAGCGAGTAGCTGGATTCACAAGACGTCGTTGCAAATAATATATTTGAAGTATTTCTTGAATTAGATAATCATTCAAGCATTGAAATTTGACGACTGAATTCATAAAATATTTATGACTTATACCCCGTTCACACCAAAGCTTAAACATGTTTAAATCTTGTTTTACTAAACTGGTTTTATTAAACTACCTGTTCACACCGCGGGCGCGTGTAGCCAAACATGTTTAAAACCGTGTTTAATAAAACTACCTAAATGAGGTTGTTTAACTTTCGTGTTTAACTAAACACATTAAAGATGGCGGTTGCCAAAAAAACCCGCGGAAGGATTTGGGAAAACCAGGAAACGTTATTGTTACTACAGAAGTGGGGGGACGAAAATATACAAATGAAGTTAATATCTTGTACCAGAAAGAGGCCTATATGGCAAGAAATAAGTGATTTTATTCGAGCGGCAGGCTACGAAGACCGTGATGAAGATGCCTGCAAAACAAGAGTACACACATTAGTAAGTGCGTATCGCTCCTACAAAGACGAATGTGAGAAGACCGGAAACGGGACTCCAAAGAGGAAGCCGGCGTTTTTCGACGAAGTCGATGAATTTCTCTCAAAAAACCATGTACCAAACCGAAGGTTGTGGTAAATTCTTCAAAAATTATCATTCAGGTGGACAACGAAGAAGAAGACAATGAAAAATTAAGAACGATGAACCAAACGAAGAGTTGCCTTCCTTCAGCGGCGGCACCAGCGTCGGCAGCAACAACGAAACAGCCGGCAAATTTCCTCAACCAAACAAGGGTGAATGTTTGACAGGTGAGCTTTGAAAACTTTCGCTGATTGGAGGGTCAGACAATAGGCCAAGAAAATGTTTCAATATCGGCGCCTACGTTGTCTGTAATCTCTAACAAAATTTCTTGATAATTTTACTTCCAAGATGAGTGGAGTTGAACAGAAATATTGAGATAAGTATTAGCTCAAACTTTAACTTCTGCCTTTAAAGATTTCTTGTATTCCTTCACAGAAAGAACAACAGATGCTGGCAAGCCATTTTTCAAACCCGCTACGAAGAAGCGGAAGGTGTCAACGACGGATGCCTTAACACAAATTGACAAGGCGTTAGAGGCATTTGTTTCCTATCAACAAGCTGCTGATAGGAGTTTTCTTGCCGCAGAGGAGGCTCGTGAAAGACGAGAAGAAGAAAGGGAGGAGAGAAGAAGGAAGGAAGACCAGGAGTTTCTGCTGAAATTGGCGCAGGTACTTCGAAAATAAAAAGTACGTGTCTTCAACAATTTAATTTGCGATCGTACCTGCGACAGTTTCAGTTGGTTTAGTTTTCGTCTTTATTTATGCTGTAAGTTGAACGATGTTTCACGAAATCTAATGGCCGATTCCCAGTCGTTGGAGAAGGTGCAAGAAAAAAAAGAAAACTATATTGAACTTACCGATTAGATCATTGATGTTGACATGCTCTGGTTAACTTTTCTTTACTTGAACTAATTGTCTTCTATAGTTATCTTCAATTGAATATGCTTTTTTTTTTCTTTGAGAAAATAAAAATCGTTTTTTTCCTTTAAGTGTTATTTTTAATTTTCCGGCAGAGCCTAGTTGTTCAGAGGCCGATTAACACTAACCCAGGGTTACATTTTGATTCAGCGTCTTTATTTCTTAATTTTCCCTATTCCTTTTAGACCATCTAATCATCAAATTGTAGACAAAAAAAAAAGAAAATGGATTTCTTTTTAAATTTTCATATTTGAAATCAAATTTCACACTAACCCTGGGTTAAGTTAAGCCACCTTTGAACGACCTGGCCCAGAGTATTTAAAAAATGCTCCAGAAAATTAATGAAATAAATGAATATTTTTGTGCACAGTGGTTAGGATCTTTTGGAAAAATTGATTTAATATTTGAAATAAAGTTTTGATCCACCTTTAAAATGATGAAATTTGTTTCTGAGGTTCCATCAGTTGTTCAGAGAGAGAGGGTCATATGAATGATGTCTTTTAAGTCTCCTTGATAAATTTACAACAGAGAGCTCTGTGTGTTTGTTTGTAGTTATTCTTTCTTGTAAGAGACTAACCAAAAAGTCTGGTGTATAATTACACAGTCACTTGCAATGGAACAAGAGCAAAAAGTTAGTGAATTAAATTAGTTTTGCTGACATTAATGCCTGCTGAGGCCATGTCACTGAGTGAGTAGATCTCCTTGCTATTCAAACTGAACACTTTGATCGAAAAGCTGAGATTGTCCCCCTCCTTCTTTATGCCTACATCTAATACTCAGAGAGGAAGATGCAAGTCTTGCACTCAAATTAGTATTTTATGTGAACATGTAGTATGCATGGCTAAATTAGCATATGTCACACCATGGGTTTCAAACTACTCCCTAATTTTTTAGCATAATTTCAGTGCTAATATGTTTATTTCACATGTGAAAAGGCAAACTTGCAATGACTGCATCTTTAATTGTTCTCAGATGGTGTCCAGGTTTTGAAATGTTAAAAAAAAATGTGGGGGTTTCAAAGAATACCACAGACAATCAAAGTTTGCCATCAGTAATTTTAATTTACACAATTGACAATTTACTTTTCAAATCTCATTTATACAACTGTAATTACAAATGGAACACTGCTTGACCCTCTTAGAGGAGTGTCCTTCAAAAAAGATCTTGACTCTCCCATTATTTATGAAACTATTTGCACTGTATACAATAAACCTTAAAGGGAGAAAGTATTCATATAAACGACTTTTTTGAGCTAGAGATGTAAACTCTTTGATGGATTATTTGCCTGTGAGAGATGCTTATGTTGAACACTCATGTTCAAGTGATGCATGTGACAATGAATATTTATATTAAGAATCTTTTAATTGCATCTCTTATTGCAACAGCATTTGTGTTCTGCCTTTGGTTTGGATCACCTGGACAAACTCCAGCATGAATGTGAATATCATTGAGCCATTGGTCATCAAAAGACTCGTTTCGCATCTCACAATAATTATGTAAAACACAACACGCTGCGATGACATTGCAGGCATTTTCAACTTTTAAGTCCAGTCTCTTCCCAATGCTTCTGAACCTTCCCTTTAATCGACCAAAGGCATTTTCAACAACTACTCTAGTTGTGCTGTGTTTTATGTTGAAACTGCGTTCCTCCGGGGTCAGATTTCCACGATCAATATATGGTTTCATCAGCCAATTGCTGAGAGCATAAGCTGAGTCACCTAATATCAGGGGAGAACTTGTACACCAGATATCATCACCGACATGTCGAGCGGAAGAAAAGCTCTGGCACAACACAAGGCAAACAATGAAGAGTTCTTGAAGACACGTGCGTCGTGTACTTTACCCGGCCATCCAACACATATATCAAGAAATAGATAATTACAATCTACTAGCCCCTGAAGGATTAATGAGTGGAATACCTTCCTGTTAACATAATCATCTGGACTTTGCCGAGGTCCAATGACTGGGACATGGCAACCATCGACTGCTGCAACCACCTGGGGAAAACCCGCGCGACTTTTAAAACCTTCAATTTTTTCTTGGACTTCATGTTGATTTTGGGGAACGTTTATATAATTGGGAAGAAGAACGTTCCCTATCACCTCGCATACCTGTCGCACAATACCACAAACAGTGGATTTTCCGACACCAAATAGATTTCCGATCGTTCGAAAGTGAGCCGTGTCCGCAAGCCAATAATATAATGTTATTGCAACTCGATGACGCACTGTAATGGCTTTCCTGTAATTGGTGTCCCTTTTAGAGATATGTGGCGAAAGTTCTCGGCAAAGGCGATTAAATGCTTCTTTAGACATGCGAAAATTCTCATTCCAGTCCTTTTCTTCCCAATCTTGGCAAGTCTCTTCCCAAAATATCTGCGACCGGAGTTTTAGCCAAATACGGCGAACAGGAAGATGTTGGAGAAGAAATCGAAGCAAAAAACGGAAAAACAATGATGAAACGAGACGTCTCCGACGAACATAGCGATTAAACCGTCTCTCTGCGTTTCTCTATCGGTTTTGTGTAATTCTGAGGTTTTCCCTCAGCCGTGACTGCGCCAACAACAGCAGGATATTGTGATTTAAACTGACCGCCATTTTGATTGCGTCTTTAATTTTGTTGGCAACAATTAATATCAAAACGAGGCTGCGTAATACCTAACCCAGTCTGCAGTGTGAACGGTTCTTGAGCAACACATGTTTTATAAAACCATGTTTAAAAAAACTACGTTTAATGAAACTTGTTTAAATTGGTGTGAACAGGGCATTAGTAAAGCGGCTGCTCGAACGTGACATGCTTCAAGAATTCACTTTTAAGTAGAACCTTGATCGAGATTTTGATAGAGTTTGGCACTTGGTCGAGTGAAAGAGTCGACCTTGAAAAAAAGAAAATATACAACTGATGAACAGATTACCGTCTCAGGCGATGCACATCTTGCACACTTGAGTGTTTTGCAACGTGTTAGTTAAAAAATAACTTGTATGTATTCACTATCATGTACATAAAGAAGTTGAATTCACAACTCTTTATTCTCTATATTTGCTGAAGTTATTAAATACTTAGGTATGGGCGAAGTTTGCTATACTTGCAAACTTCGCTGTAGAATTTTCCTGATTAGAATATGCGAGTTTGAATGTTTATGCGGTTAGCACTTTTGAAGTGATTTTTGAGGGGATCCTTGAGAAACAATACACTAAACGTCATGGCATTAATATTGGTTGCATAAACAACAGAACAAAGGTATCTAAAGTTTACTTTCTTTTGGTGACTAAGGATAATAACCCTTAGTTTCCTGCTTAATGCGTGAAGCTTCCGTAGTTGCTGGTGTTCAGTTGTTTTAAAAGTAAACGTAAATTAGCCAAACGTCAGCATTTCAATGCTGACGTTTCGATCAACCGGTAGCTCTTCATCGGAGCAACGAGGGGCCAACGCTTTAAACGTCAGCTTTGAAACTCTTTACGGTGGTCAATTAACTTTATCAACTCAGTTGACAATACTTAACTACCCTGTTATACTATCCACCTACGCAGCACCACATGCCACAGATTCTTTATTCATTTAGTTTTAAAAGCAGGTTTTGACGCTCAATCAAACCCCTCTTTGATAAATTGTGGGCTGATTTAGGTGCTATTCTCTCAGTACGTGCAAGTAAGGCTTGAAATCACACAAAACTCGAAATTATATCTTAGTACAGGTAATAATATCACGGTATGATTAAACTCGTGCATAAACAATAGGATGAATAGTTGAAAGCAACCGCATAGATAAAATGATTTGTAAGTCACACTTTCAAATCTTTTGAAAGGCTTTGAACCTTAATGTCATTGCGTAAAACTTCTCTTCATATTTGTGTTAAGAACATCTATCAGGAGTTTCCGATTTAGCAGAAGTTCACGAAAGCGAATCTTACTAATAAATAAAAGTTGGCGAAACAACCACGAACAAAAGCATAATCACTTCTTGAATACATTACCAGAGCGAAGAAGATTGAAGCGAACTCCTGCTAAAATTGGAAAACCGTATTATGTTGCATGGCTCGCGTTAGTAAAAAAAAATAACTATTACATTTAATTGCACACCATACAAACCACAGGAAATAGAACGGTGTTAATCTCTGTTCATATCGTGCTAATTATAAAGCCCTTTGAAACCAATTTGCCCTTTTGAACTCGTTTCAGACTTTGTCAAGTAGGGGGCTCCCAGTTTCGTCAGGTCTATAATTAGGTTGCAATCTAAAGAGTAACGTCTTTTCAGGGAGATGAAAAAATTTTATCGATTACATCCATGTTGGCGATCAGTAAACGATTTCTTTGGATCAGATGGCAGCCTATCACAATACCTATGGGAATATTTCTCCATATGTGTTGAGATCTGACGCGCCAAAAATCCATGACATAAGAAAGTAAATTCTTTAAGGGATCAACTCATTTGCAAATAACGCAGACATTTTATTTACCGATCTCAGAGATAGTTGGGCGGATGTCATTAGCGTAAGTTGAATACTTGAAAGAAGAATTTTTTAACCAATGTTACATCTTGAAACAATCGATTATTTTTTAAGCAGCAGTACCGAGGAAAAACGCGAGTGTATAATTTGTTGACGAAAGTAGTCCGAGCAGATGTATCTAAATATTTTCGCGAAATTGAATTTAAAAGCACCGCAATTTAGCTTCAGTACTATTTGCATGATATGAATGACTAGGGAACTTTAGGAATCATCGACTGGTGATCAAACTTGCTTTTTCACATTTGCAAAGGTAGCCTGGGACAGCTTATGCCCACTTTTGCGAAAAAGGATTTGTGCACAAATCAGCTAAAGAACTGACCCCAACTATTCGAAGCGTGAATAACGCTATCGACTGGATAATTATCTACCCGGTGGATAGTGCAGCACGTATTCTTAACACTTATCCGCTGGTTAGTGACGGATTAATCCGTTGCATAGCATTATCCGCCCTTTGAATAACTGGGCTCTGAACCAGAGCTTGTTCGTGTGGCTCATTATAGCAAGCCGTCATTTCCTACTTGATCGTCGAAACTTTCGTTATCGCTGCATCAGTGGCCGGTAGAAGTACAGGCCAATTTTATTTTACCTTGGTTGCTTTTTTTCTACGAGTCTAGTCTTTAAGGCTACTCTTCCTGGGTATCGATGACTTGTTTAGAGGCACGGCGACACTATCACCTCGGTTAACAGTAATACACTTAAAGGAATTAGTTATTCAAAGCGTTTCAAAAGTTGTCGCTCAAAAGTTTTATGCTTTGGTTCAAACCAAACTTCATTAAGAGAAGTGACGTATTCCACAAGAAGTTTTTCATATACTTGGTCTTCCAGTAAGTCACTCAACGCCATGCTAGCAAAAAAACCATGAAGATCGGTGAGTTTTGGCTCAGTAAGTCATTAACGGTATCCTTCTCACAACATTCACCTTCAAAATTGTTACTGCAAATTTGATAACCACTAAACTTATATTTTTCAAGAGCTTTTTCTCGTTGCCGTTGATTTAGGTCCCTTTTGGCGCCTTATAATGACTTGTATTAATAGGAAACTTCAGGTTCTGGAGAAACATTTCCTTCTTCGGCTCGTAGCACTGACTCCTGGTCATAATTTGCGCTATCGAGCACTTTTTCAATCATGTCATAATAATGAGACAATTGAGACTCTCCTGATACCTCTGTTCTACCGTCAGAATCTTCTGTAGCCACGAAAGCGGAAAAATGCCCAGAGCTTGAGCTTCTCCTACTTTTTGAAGCCGTTAACATTTCTGTGGATTTAGAGTGATGGCTGCCTCGTAGGAAACATTTCATAGATGATGAATACTCCTCGTTGAGTTTTTCGTCGAGCTTATCTCGTTCCATATTGAACGCCATCGATGACCGTCTTGAATCCGTCGGATGTCCATAGGATTCAGAACATACACCGCTAGTGTCCTCATCTTCTAAACGTTTTCTAGATTCATCCTGACCAGGTGTGATTATGTCGAGGTCAGTCTTCGTTTCAACCCGGTCTTTGGCTAGAGATGTAAATGAAGACCAGCTGGAGGAATTTTCTGGCTCTCAGAGGTTCTCTTGTTCTCGAATAGCCAGCTTTCTTTATCGACGAGAACGAGGCTTTTGCGGCCCGAGCAGCTCCCAGTGGAATGCCTAGTTCACTATCTCTACTTTGGTGTGATTTGTCCAAATAATGTTCATCTTCGTACTTCTCTTCCTGAATTTCTGCACTTTTAGAATCACTGTCGCAATGCGAGTTGATACTGGTTTCCGATTCAAAATAAGAGTTTGACAGAGCGTTATCCTCTGGTGAGATGTCCACTTTGTCGATTCTCAAAAAATAATAGCACTTAAAGCGTTTTATCTTCATATCCACCACCACAGTGTCCTCTGGCACTAGAGCCTGATCTTCCTGGACTTCGGAAAGAGAGTTCATCGGTATAGTTAAGAAGACGTTGAGAACAATAGGCATTCAGCGCGATGATCATTAACGGAAAAAAAGATGATTGGTCTTACAGTCCGATTGTTCTTTCTAATGACTCAAAATCAAGGGCTCCCATGACGGTATTATATTAAGATTGCGACGACATAATCAATTTATGAATGTTCGTCTACCTGAAATGATAACCGTCACTTACGCCTCTACACCCATAATGAGAAATATCACCTTTATTTTCAAGGAAATAATTGGCAAGCATCGGTAGCAAACAACAGCCCTTTTCAGAGAGTGCTTTAAAAGTAGCAATTTGCTCATGCACAAATGATGTATCTGTCGCTAGAGAGCATGATTTCTTTTTTTCATTTAAAATATATGGATGTTATTATCTTTCCCTAAGCACAGTAGACAATTTGAGTGAATGAGATTTTAGTTTAGATATCAGCCTTTGTAAGAACGCTATTCACCATTGAAAGCTTGAACCTGGGTATTTAATGCAATCTAATAATATTACATGTTACGATGTGGTAACTTACTCAGCAAAAATAAAATGACATAATTCCAAAGAAAGCAAGTCAAGAAGTAGACTCACCTGCTTCAACGTTTGAGTGCTTAAGTACAGAGAGATAGAAAAACAGTTACAATTAATACAAAGTTAGAAGTTTGAAAGCTAAAAGATATACATTACAATCATCCAAGCCTATGCATCCTAGCAAAAGTAGGTCAATTACCACCATAACTCCTCTCCAATGTTCACGCTTACAGAAAATCATTAGTCATTGTCATGAGGTAGTACCGTACATGTATTTACAGTAGTTTTGCCAAACAAAAATACAATTTTTTTTTCAGGTATCTCGGTATCTCATAGTATATGATTTTACATGTTATATG